CCCGCCGCGACCGGCGCCGACGCGGCAGGCGCATCCTTCATGTACTTGTCGTGAGCGGCCTCGAGCACCCTAGCCGACTCGGTGAAGGGGCTGTCGGGGCCGTTGAAGGTGGCGCAGTTGGAAAACACGAGTCGGACGTCGGCGTCAAACTGGCGCAAGTTGCGGTAGTAGTCGCGCGACGGGTCGAGCTTCCACTCGGCCGCCGCCTTGACCTTTTCGCTGGGCTTGGCGTTGGGCTTGAGCACCATGGCCGTCAGCGCCAGCTTGATGTCAATCGTGCCGAGGTCCATGGGGTTGCGGATCACCTGCGGGTAGTGGGGCACGCCCATGGCCACGGGATCGACGGGCCGGAGGAAGGCGAGGGCCTCCCGCCGGTTCTTGAGCGACTTGATCGTGTTCTGCGCAAACTTGACCTGCTGCGGCGTGATCTCGAGCGGCGCATCCTGCTGGCCACCGGACCCTTGGCCCTCGGAAGCGTCGTCGGTGCGCGCCTTCTTGGCCGGCGGCTCCATGCCAGTCGGTCCGCCGTCTGGGTAGGCGCGGCCGGCGGCCGCCTCATCGACGCCGCCACCGGCGTGCTGCTGCTGCTGCTGCTGCCCATCCTCACGCTTGATGCCGCCGTCTCCATTGGCTGGCCCAGGTGGCTGCGCCGACGTCGCCGCGGGAAGATCCGTGCCGAACGAGGCCGAAGCCGGCGCACTGATGGAGGATCCATTTGACCCTCCGTGGCCGTTGCTCGACGAGGCGTCGGCGCGCGGAACGTCGGAACCGTGAGCCTGGTCGACTGAATTCGTCGGCGGGTAGAGCGAGGCGGATGCGGGAGCCGCATACAGGTCCTGCGCCGGAGGGACGATGCTGCTGCTTGTATGCTCGGACATGGTGGCGGCGTGGATGTGCGGTCGCAAGCTCAAGTGGTGTGAGAGAATTGGCACAAGGCCGGCGTGCCAGCTATCTGGCTACGTGCGAGTCGTGGACGTGATCGAGGAGCAAAAGAGGAGCCACTGACTCGAGCCTGGACGGCGGCGGATACGAGCCGGACGGAAGATGCGAAAGCGACTTGGTGGCAAGCCTGCTGCAGAGATCCGTGAGGGTGCGCCGCCTGTTGTGGTGCGGAGCGTGCGCTGCTGATGGACGGACCGAAGGCGGAGGCAGTCGGGGCGGTGGTAGCTGCCTTGCTGTACGCCGGGGCGGAAGGCGGAAGGCGGCGTTGAGGCAGCCGCGCGGGTTGTTTTCGGCTGCGATCGAGAGACGGCCGTCGTCTGGCTGGCGAGTCACCGACAACTGGTTCGCACAGCGGGAAGATGGAAGGGAGCGCTAGAGGTGGCGACTGACTGGCGAGAAGTCGGGTCGATGGATGGATGGCGTGTCGGCGTCGGTAAACAGGTACCAGGCGCGCCGCAGTCGATGTTGATGAGTAGGAGGAGGATGCGGCGCCGGCGTGCAGGCGTGGAAAAATGGAAAGCGGCAGGTGGAGGAGTGAGGAGTCGGAAGGCAAGGTGCGTCCAGACGGGGTGAGCGCGCGTTTGCCAGGATTTCAGAGAACAGGTCAGCGGAGAGGTTAGCCCTAGGCCGGCAGGCGCGGAGGACGCTGACTGGGTAGGCTAGGGGTGGGGTGAGGGGTCGAGGGGTGGGGTGAGGGGTCGAAGGGCGAGGGCGAGGGCGAGGGCGGCGAGGGAGCGATTTCGAAAAAAGAAAACCAGCCAAGAGCCCGCCGCCCGACCTCGGGCCCGGCCCTTCTTTATATGCTGCCCCCTGGCCCTGGCCCCCCGTCG